ATTGAAAATAATTTACCCAACCATAGGCTTTGTTCAAAAAATATTTACCCAACCCTTCATACCCCAGAAAAATGGCTTACCCAACCCATTTCTCTTTGTTACCAACCCCGGGTATAAATAATGAACACTCCCTAAAGCAATTTATACTGTCCAGTAGTTATTACATTAACTATAAAAACATTTTATGACTAAATTTTGACTTTGACGCAACATAATAATAGCGTAGCTTCAAACTTTATGATATGGCATGTGTATACTATAAATGAGTTTATTTTACCTGTATCAGTTTAAATTTGCTGTTAAGGTAATTCGGCAGTTTTGCATTGCGCACTTTTACTGCGCACATCTTATAACTTATCATTTCATCCGTTTCAGTACCATTTAAAAAAAAATATTATTTTATGACAATTTTATGTTACTTCAAAACATCTTTGGTTACATTCGTGCAAAGAATACATTAAAATCAATGTTTTCAAAAAAGGCATACAAAAGTGTAGCTAGGGTTCCCTGTGTCTGTAGTATGTTTATTTACTTGTATTTCAGGTTTTAATGCCACAATTCCTTAAAAAGATCGGTGACCCCCGTTTTTTAACTGATAATTAATTCCTTTAATGCATTTTACATTTCATATCCGAAATTAAAAGAAAAATCATTTCTGGATCTTGAAAAAAATGCTTTATCAATGTATGTTCTCAAAGAAAGATATGTAAAGAAATGTGGAAAAGACATTTGTGGAAAAACACAATTTTTTCAAAAATAATTACAAGATAGGTTTACTAGAGCAAAATCCACGCTAAAAAGTCAATAAATATCAGGCTGTTGTGAGTTTGCTGTTACTCGTAATGAGCGTCAAGATGGCGCCATATTGGGGGTAAAGGTGATATTGTGATTGTCATATCTTCTTAACGAGTTCGGTGACCCCGACTTTTTTGTGTGATTTTACTTTAAGTACATCGTAAACTCCATGCCTGGGAAGTTTCAGCACATTCTCGTTTCGGGAACAATTACTGCGGAATTACCTTAAGTTGCAAATAATTCTGTTTGAGAATGCAATAATTGGGCATTTTGCAACCAGGGCAGTTTTGGCCTTGTTATTGGGAAATCCACTAGGCCTTTTATTTTTTCGCTTGTGTCATCCTCCGCCCCGCCCCCAAATCACCTAGTCCCAGTCTTTTCATGTGAAAAAGTGCTGAATATTAAAAAAATAATAAAAATAGAAGGTCTAGGTCTAGGATGATGCTAGGGCAGTAATCCGATCAAATATAGGTTTTGGCAGGAAAATGTGAATGAAAATGACACCACTTGGACAAATACTGTCACACCTATGATGCATTTGTTTGTCCAGACCATGGAGTGTTAAGTTTAATACTGATGATAATGTCCAGGAGACATGTATGTGTGAATTTTGTGACTCACATGCCCTAAAAATGATGGTGTTGTCTTTGTAATGTTTACAACATTCGCGGCCGTGTTGTATCAAATATACAAACTCGAGCCAAAGGCGAGAGTTTGTATACCTGATACAACACGGCTGCGAATGTTGTAAACAACTTAAAAAACGACTCATCTTATGAGTTCATTGGCAAAGTAATTTTAAAAATAAACGTTGTCTAAGCCGCGAAAATCAAAGTTAAAGTTTATGTAAATCAACATGAATCTGTATCACATATACAGATACGACACGCTTATGATTTTTCTTTGTGTTTTCTTCATGAATTATTAATGAGTTTTTAAGCTGAAGTGGACAATGCATTTTACTTGTTTCTTAATTTTTAATTTAAATTACATAGGCGTACAGGAGGGTGGGGCTGGGGGAGCTGCAGCCCCCCCCATTTTTTGAGAATTTATCTATTCAGGCAAAAATTGTCTTGTCATTTGGGCAGCGACGGTCTGGTGATTAGATGAATATATTGATCCATAAAGTGGAACAGAAGTATTATTCCAACAAGTTCAACTTTTACAAGTTCAATCATGCACTGTAAATATGTAATGGCAACGTTTGTGTATATTTATTACTACCATAGATCATATAGCTTGATTCAAGCATGTTGCGTCAGGTTAACCTTTATTAAAGGTCAAGTACTGCTAGTGTTCCAACTTAATCGGATTTGGTTTTGATTTTTACGCACATACCACAGACGTAAATCTCTACAGAAACGGCTAGAACGAAGGAACAATTGCTATCATGGCTACTAATAAAATGTCACTACTGTATTCATGCCTATATTCAGCAGTTTTACCTAGCATAATGTAGGCTATACAACTATTAAACTATATAAGTATATAGCTACACATATTGCGAAGGTGTGGTATAAGTGTGCGTAGTAACAATCGGATCAGTAATGTTTATCTCCTTTGATAGCATTGGTTGCGCAAATACAGTCTCTGGCCTTGGGCGGCACCGCGGTTATGACACACTAGTCACTGAAATAGATACTACATTGTAAGTGACATTGACGTAACCGTACAAATACTGTACAATGACCTAATGTGACTAATTTTAGACTCTTAGATAGACATAAAAATGAGCGATCTTTTTACAATCATTAAAAAATTATTGATTTTATGACCATTCGCTCCACGATGGCTATAGAAACAATCGCCTAGAAGATTACAACACTCAATAGCCAAGCTCTAATAAAGCGTATGGCATCTCGTAAAAGAGAGTACCGACATCGCGTTCGGTGCGAGGAATGCAATAAGGAAATCGACAGTGATTATAAAGAGATGCATTCTCGATTGGTTCACAATGGTAAAAAAGTAAAATGTCATCAAGTGATGGAATCATCGGATTCATCCCAGTCGAAAATCAGTACTTTCTTTGTAAAAAGTAACATGACAACCCAGGACGATAACCTGCAGTATGACTTAACCCTACTGGGAACTGAATCGAGTGGTAGTAAAGATTCTGCAGTCACAGTGTATTTTGATGGGGATCTATCTGAAAAAAAAGGTGAAGGAACCCATGAGCGAAGACCAAACGGAACCAATGATAGCGTTCATTGATGTTGATGAATTAAATGCACTGTCACAGCTCAGAGAAAATAGTGAATAGAATACGGTGACGGACAGTGAAAATGTTACACCAGAATCAATGACGACTTCTAGCATGCTAGCTAGCATCTACACCAATGGATGATCTAAGTTCACCAGCACCTATTCTAGACGAACAGTCTGAAAAGGTTTCCGTTCCCAGTGAGAATACAGAAAAGATTTCCACGCCCCAAAACAGCCCATATTAGATGAATACCCTGCAAGAAAATTCGGCAATGAGACATTTGTGCAAAGATTTCAATCTGAATGGTACAAGAAGTATCCGAGGATTAGTTACGAAGTGGATAAGGATGCATGCGTGTGTTTTGCCTGCGTAGAATTTGGGAAGGATACTTCATTTGTATTTAGGAATTGGAAGAAGTCAGCAAAGCTAGCAAAACATGGCAAGAGCGAGAACCATGTTAGATCCATGACAAGATGGCTCCACTTCAAAGCAATGCAGAGAAACAAAACTTCCGTACTACAGCAGCTGAATACTGCACACCAGGACCAGGTTGTCAGTAACAGACAATACTTAAAAGTAATCATACAATCCTTGATGTATACTGCACAACAGAATGTTGCGATTAGAGGTCATGAAGAGAACCGGAATGATATATGGGAGGTATCTGATATAAATCGAGGGAACTTTCTTGAGTTACTTTGCATAAGATGCAACGATTTACCTTGGCTGAGGTCTAAACTGCAAAGCCAGCTCCAGTTACATGCTCAGTGGACATCACCTGTTATTCAAAATGAACTACTGGAAATAGTAGCAAACGTCATGCTTGAGAGGATAGCAGCAGAAGCAAGAAGTAGCGACTATTACGGAATAGTTGACAACGAAACGGCAGATATCAGTCGAACAGAGCAGGTATCTCTTTTCCTTAGATATGATTTCGACGGCGAAACCAAAGAGACATTTACTGGTTTCTATTCAACCAAATCCATGGAAAGGGAGGTATTATATGAGCTTGTAAAGACAGCCATTAGCAAGCTGGAATTGAGGTTGGAAGACATAGTTGCAGAATGCTTTGATGGCGCTGCAAATATGAGTGGAGCTCGTAAAGGGCTTGCCGCACGTATGAAGGAGTGTTCACCTCTTAGTATCTACATTCATTGCCATGGGCATCGCCTTGACTTGGCGCTACAAAATACGATGACCACAATTGAGCCACTTCAGAAAGCTTTAGCGGTGATCCAGAGTCTCCATAATTTCTTGGAAGGAAGTCGCAAACGCCACGCCATCTTCAAGGATATCAAAGTCGAAGTTGAGGATGAAGATGTAACACTGACAATTAAATCGCAGAGTGCTACTAGATGGTCTTGTCGCTGGGCAGCTGTAAAGGCAGTGGTAAACCAATTGCCTAAGATCATCGAGGCTCTTCTCTCACTCTCAAAAGATCGCGATCCAAAGACCTACAATGACAGCAATTCGCTACTTAACTCGATTTGTGACTTTCGATTCGTTTTTGGTTTGAATGTATTGAAGGTTATTTTGTCCAACACCAATGGTTTGAGCAGATAGCTACAAGGGAAGCAGATGGATGTTGTCACAGCAAAGAAGAGTGTTGATGGCGTGATCAAAACACTAAGTGGATGTCGTACCCAAGAAAATTTTGATCTGTTGTGGTCGAAATCAAGGAACTAATTGAGGATACAGATTTCAATTTCGAAGATGCAAAGGTACCAAGACTCCGACCGCCATCACGCTGGCTGCAGGCACTCGTCGGCGAAACGCCCAAAGTGAATGCACAAGTGGAGTACCGAGCAGCAGAAGACCACTATCGTATCACATGCTACTACCTAAGCATTGACAAGATTGTCGCGGAGATGAAATATAGATTTGAAGGTAATGATCAAGAGGTGCTATTGGCACTTGCAGACATTGTCTTCAGCAGCTCTCCAACCAGGGAGAATATTGAGTTGGTATCAGACTTCTATGGTATCGACAGTGAGCTTCTTGGCAGCGAGAAAAACGTCTTTGAGAATATTGACGCCGATTACCCTGATCCTGAGAGAAAAAACGTCGCCAAAATTGTGAGAATGTTCGAAAATGGTGTTCATGAAGTTCTTCCTGTTGTTTACAAAGTATTTTCGATTCTGGCCATGATCCCTGCAACATCCTGCTCTGCTGAGAGATCTTTCAGCGCTCTTCGCTGCTTGAAAACCTATCTTTGAAGTACAATGGGCCAAGAACAGTTAAACAGCATTGCCCTCATCAATGTTGAGAGAGCTTATGCAAATAGTACTTTAAAGAACGATATGGAAAAGATAATTGACATTTTTGGACAGCGACGTAATCGTAAATCTTATTTCTTCTAGTCTAGATTGTAGCAATCTGAACTAATTTATCATTGTGCTAAACTAAATTCCTTGCACGTCTAGTGCTATACACGAGAGAATTTCATATATCAAATAAAATGTTGTTATGTTAGTAACTTTCTCTTTCTTTCTAAATCATAATGAATATATTTAGCTTATAATTGAAATGGCTAGGGGCGACATATTTCTTTTTATATCAATCTTCAAAAGAAAGCTTTTCATTGATAGTCTTCTCAGATTATAATTTTATGATGACGTCATGTCATTCGGGCAAATTCAGCCCAGCCCCCCCCCCCAAAAAATGTGCCCATACGCCTATGTTAAATTGGGCTTATAGTCAGCAAGGCCGGGGCTGCCATGTTGCCCATCCCCAATTATCCATGTGGCTCTTTTTAGCCACATCTACATTTCTATATTGTGTAATGGATTTTGTACCAATGCAATGGAAGTAACCCATCCTTGGCTTGAACAATTAAGGACTTGCCATTGTTTTATTGGTACAATATTTACATTTTTGCATATATTTATTGCATACTAACAGAGACTGTAAGCCAAGTTGAGTTTACAACTATTTATTATGGATTCAGGAGTGTGTTTTGCAAGATGGGACAAATAGTTAATTGGTTTCTTTTATGTAGCTTAGGTTACTGAAAATTATGCAAGCTCAGGTGATTGCAATGATGAGGCAAATAGCAAGTTGTCAGAAGGTGATAACACTGATGATGAAATTTGGCCTGAGGTATCACAGCAGCTACTAGATCAAGATGATCATGAAAAGTGCAAGTTGCCAATTCCATTCTTCAATGGTTGTTGTATTTTCTTTAATCTGGCAAGGTGTTTGCCACGTAAGTGACAATGGCCTAGCATGGTTGTTGCATTTTCTTCTACAGTTCCTTAAAGTTTTGAATATCCATGTAACTAGTGAGCTTTTGTCAGAACATATAGCAATATTTCCAACCTCACTGTATATGGTTCACCAGATTCTTGTTTTAGATCGCGATAATTTCACTAAGTATGTTGTTTGTCCCAAATGCACTGTATGTTATGAATATATTGAATAACGGCTGTGATTTCTTAAATGCTCCAAGAAACTATGGACCAAATGCTTAACTTTGACATATTACATGACATTTGAATTATTTCCTGAAGCCTCTCATGGAGGAACTGAAAGTGATGTGGAATGGAGTTCATTTGGTATCAAGCCTTAGTGGAATACCACTCATATTTAAAGCAGCCTTGTTGTACACCTCTTCAGATATACCTGCATCACGAAAACTGTCTGGGTTTAAAGGCCACAGTTCAGGCGGTTTTTGTGAAAACAAGATTACTTGGGGTTTGACGAAGAAAACTGGCCAAAATGTGAGAGTGAAGACCACAGGCGTCAAGCAAACCACGGTTAATAGAAGGAGGATGGTTAGGCTAGCCGGCAAACTTCAAAGGGGGCGGCAAACTATGTTGAACACAAAGGAAAAAAATGTCACGTGTCGAGATAGGGGGACGCTTGTGTTGACATTTGTAGGAAATTATATTGAAAGTGTTGGGTTAATACTGATAATAA